CCCAGGTTGCTCCAAGCCCCCTCCAACTTGGCCTTCAACCCCTCCAGGGATGGGGCAGCCACAGCTTCTCTGGGCAACCTGGGCCAGGCTCTCACCACCCTCCCACCAAAGAAGTTCTTCCCCACATCTCATCTCCATCTCCCCTCTTTCAGTTCAAAAAGAGAGAGCCAGAGTTCATAACACAAATCTGTTTGTTTAGATTTGGCAGATTGCTGATATTGAATCTTTTCTAGTTCATGCTTTTTTCTTCGGTTCACTGATCACAGGTTTACTTTGCCTTTTTGTGCTTCAGCTCATCACGTCGTGCTGCAGCAGAAGCAATTCCTCTCATTCCTCTCATGCTGTTCACACTGACAAGCATCTCAGAGGTGGGGGCTGCCAGCCTCTGTCTCTCCATCCCCTTCACTTGCTTTTCCATTGCATCACTTATGGGGAGCTGCACGGTCCTCTGTCACCTGGATGGAAGTGAGTCTCCACGACATCATGTAGCAGTTCCTCTCCATGCTGGCTGTCACTGATTCGGGTTTGTCTCTCTCTACAAAGCCAACTGTGGTGTGTGTTTTCTGGTCAACAGCAAGGTTTTGGCACCTGTTTTGCTCAGTGTTACTTCATTTTTCTCCTTCATTGGTGCTTCTGGCCTTGGCCTTTGATCACCATGTGGCCACCTGCTACCTGCTGAGATAGACTCCTTCATCCCCACCAGTGCTGGGATAGGCAGGACTGGGCTGGTTTCTCTGTTCACACGTCTCTTAGGAGGCCTGCTGTCCGATCAAGCTGTTCTGTGCAGACACCACTTTCAATAGCTGGTGTGGCTTTGCTGTAGCCATTCTCTTTCTGACATTAGTCCTCATCCTCATCTTTCTGTCACATATGCCGATTGTTAGGGCCATTCTGAGCATCGCATCCCAGAGGGAGCACCTCAAGCTTTCAACAACTGCCTGTCCCATATGTCCTGTCAGTCCTGATCCTGTACATCGCCATGGTCAGTTTGTCCACGGTTCACCAGTATGGCCAGCGTGCTCCCCCTCTTGTTCATGTCTTCATGGCCAACATCTACCTGCTGGTCCTCCCCATGCTGAACTCCAATTACCTGAGAGGAGGTTGTAGAGAGGTGGGGCTTAGTCTCTTCTCCCAAGGAACAGAGGAAAAGACAAGAGGAAACAGCCTCAAGTTGTGTCAGCAGGGGAGGTTGAGGATGGAGCTTGGGAACAATTTCTTCCTGGAAAGGGCTGTGAAGCCTTGGCAGAGGCTGCCCAGGGCAGTGGTGGAATCGCCATCCCTGGAGGGATTTTGGAGCTGGGCAGAGGTGATGCTGAGGGACATGGGTCAGCAGTGGGTTTGTCAGTGTTGGGGTTGATGGTTGGACTCCCAACCTCCCAACCTCCCAACCTCAACAACTCTATGATTCTATGATCTACAGCACAAAAACTAAACAGAGGTGTCCTCAGGGTCCTCTTGCCAAGAAGGAGCTTCTCCCCGCGACACTGTGGGACCTGAGAGGTGTCCCTGGAAGAGATCACTGCTCTGGGAAACACTCACCATAATGATCTGGCTGGCAGTTCATCACTTGGAAAGTGCTTTTGCTTTGCGTCACGCGGGGCATTGACTCAGTGAAGGTATGAGCAGTTATTATTGATATCCATACATTAAACCCAACTCATCAGAAATCGCAGCGTGTGGAGGGGTCACAGCCATCGCTCAGGGCTGTCCCCCTGCCCCTAATGAGGAGCAGCCAGGACTTTTCTCAGGCCCACGGATATTAGCTGCCCCTTTCAGCATTTTGCAACCCACAGTTTCTTTTAGGTATTCCTGTCCTCTGCCTCCTTCATGTGTTTTTCACTCCGAGTACCTGGATAACGATCTGTTCCATCTAAAGGCTGCGCAATCACTCACAATCCAATTTCGGTGACAGTGCAATAGTCATGGATAATTATTTGATATTTGTCTTGCTGTTTCACTGCATATGGAGTTTCATCTGTTCCAGATGATTTTGATAAGAGGACCAACATGTAAATGGAAATTAAAATAATCTCAACCCCCTCTGTTTTCCAGCTGATCCTGTTCATGAAATCCATAACTTGCAATATATCCTCTTATTTCCTTGGTATCGTACAGTGACACACACAGCTTCTGCAGCCTCTCACGATGACCCATGCTGTTTATTGTTCTTTCTCTCCCCTCATTTCTTTCTTGTCTCCTGTCCTTAGGTTTGAAGCTCTTGGCAGCAGGGATTTTCTTTTCATTCTACACCTCTAATATTTTATTAAAGTATCACCTGGTCTGTGCTTCAAACTATAGCAAAGGTAGAGATACTTAATAATACTGCTACCAATTGCTTCTCTTCCTGGGCTACATGACTGTGATGCTAAATAACAACAAAAATGGTAAACAACACAAGAAAAAATTACACTTTCAATTGCAAAATTTCAGATAAATAAATATCAGTGCTGGACTTGTGTGCCACTTCAATGATACGTCTGTATCTTGATTTGTATGGATCAGCCATGGGTTATAAAATGAATGAAATAATGATTTAATGTCTGTGGTTCAAAGACAGCTCTGTCACTTAGGGAAATACAGTTCTTAATTCTTTGCACTGGCAAGCAAAAGAACTGGACAGCCCAAAAGGAAAGGTTTCTGCTCATAATAAGTGACTTGTGCCCAGTTAACATCATATACTTAAGAAAGAGCTCTTCTTGGGCTTGGGCTGGAAAGTAGGAATCTCTTTGGGGAGATGGGAAAAACAGGGAGCAAAAAGTTGAGGTGGTTGAGAAAGGGGGTGAGAACACCACTGAGAGAGTTGTGGAGAACACTGAGATTGGTCATTGAGACATCTCAATGGAGGACTGTGGTGGTCCAGGAGGGAGAGACAGACAAAGAGTGGGGCAGGAGAAGCGGGGTTGTTCGAAGGACACCAAGATGGTAGGACATTTTGTGTTACTGCTCGTTTTACTGCAGAGAATGGATGGAGACCAGCCCTGAGGAGAAGAACTTAGGAGCTTTGGTGGATGAGAAGCTCAACATGAGCTGGCAATGTGCTCTGGCAGCCCAAAAACCACCTGCAACCTGGGTTGCATCAAAAGAAGTGTGCCCAGCAGGTCCAGGGAGGTGATTCTGTGCCTCTACTTTGCTCTGGTGAAATCCCACCTGGAGCACTGTATCCAGCTCTGGAGTCCTCAACATCAGAAGGACATGGACCTGTTGGAATGGGTCCAGAGGAGGCCATGGAGATGCTGGGAGGGCTGGAGCCCCTCTGCTGGGAGGGGGGGCTGAGAGAGTTGGGGGGTTCAGCCTGGAGAAGAGAAGGCGCCGGGGAGACCTCAGAGCCCCTTCCAGTCCTTCAAGGTGGGTGGGGGGGCTCCAGGAAAGGTGGGGAGGGACTCTTGATGAGGGAGGGGAGCCACAGGAGGAGGGGGAAGGGTTTGACCCTAAAAGAGGGGAGATGGAGCTGAGATGTGGGGAAGAACTTGTTTGGTGGGAGGGTGGTGAGAGCCTGGCCCAGGTTGCCCCGAGAAGCTGTGGCTGCCCCATCCCTGGAGGGGTTCAAGGGCAGGATGGAGGGGGCTTGGAGCAACCTGGTGTGGTGGGAGGTGTCTCTGCCCCAGGCAGGGTGGGGGGGATCTGGGGAGGCTTTAAGGTCCCTTACAACCTGAACCACTCCATGATTCTATGATTTACGTCAGAGATTGAAGCACTTATCCCACAGATAAGGGTATTTCTGGCAAAATACCGCACACTAAAACAATGCCTGCCTGTGGAATTCTGTTTGCAAAGACAAAAGTGAGAAGGAAGGCTGTGCTGGTTTTGGCTGGAATAGATTTAATTTTCTCCATCGTAGCTTGTGTGGCGTTATATTTTGGATTTGTGATAACACCAGCGTTGGTAACACAGAGATGTTTTAGCTACTTGCTGATGGGGCAGGGTGAGAAATGCAAAAAATGCCTTGATGCTGTGCAGGCACTGCTCAGCTGCAGCTAAAACAGGGGGCAATATTTTGGGCTTGTCTTTATCTCAACCCAGGAGTTTTGGCACTTTTACCCTTCCGATTCCCTCCCCATCCCACCGAGGAGGGGTCAGGGGGGATGGGATGGTGACCGAAGAGGCTGCGTGGGGGTGAGCTCCCCGTCGGGGTTAAACCACAACAAAGGGCTTGTAGAAGTATGGAATTTCTGAGTGAAAGAGACAACTATATTTATCATCGTACGTGTTTCGTAGCCATGGCAGACACGCTGGGTAGCTGGCGTGCAGCCAGCTGTAAAACACTGTTGGTATTTCTAAAATTCGACCCCTGCAGCCAGGAAACTTCTTCCCATCAAAAATGCACCGACTTCCAGCTTCAGAAGAGGGATTTCTCCCAGTTCAGGAGAAATGTGTGTGTGGAGGGACTGGGGGGGGGCCCAGGGCAGGCTTTTTTCAGCCACTTGCCCTCCTTCTGTTTGTTTGTTGAGGTTTTTTTTGTTTGGTTGGTTTTTGTTTGGTTGGGTTTTTTTGTTTGGTTTGGGTCTTTTTTTTTTGTTTTTGTGGTTGGACTCGCTGATCTCAAAGGTCCCTTCCCACCATGAAGATTCTGTGATTCTGTGTTAGATTGTGCTTTTTTTTTTGCCTTTTCTTTCTGACGTTCAGGACACAGCTTTTAAAGACAGCTGAGGCGATGTGTCTGATGTCATCGGTTACCTCAGCTCTAACGTTCCCCCCAAGAACTCCACGCTCCACATAAAATATTTTGTGTCATCATGGAGATCTTTTAGGAGGAATCCGGATGAAACACCTTCAGGGACAGCGTTCGCCACCATCTGTGGTCACTTGTTTCAGCAGAGAGTTACAGCCACGGTTAAAAACCACACCTCGTTTTACTTTGATTTGTAAATCCTAAAGCCATTTTGGGTGTGCCAGCAGGCAACATTAAAATGTCATCTTTTACGCAAATGGGCAGCAGCCCTTTGGTGTAAAAAATGAGCAGATATGCTCTGTTTAATCCACAAGGGCTTGAAGGACAAGAGGAACCTGCCTGTTGGACAATGCTCTCATCCGGGAGAACATCTCAGATTTAGGGCTGCCTTGATTTTCTTGTGCAGCCCCTGGTCAGGCTTCATCGCTCCCTCCCCTGGCTGGTGGGAACTCAACGGGGAGTTCACTCATGCTGGCAGGTACAGATCTCTGCTCCCTCCCCTGGTTGGTGGGAACTCAACAGGGAGTTCACTTATGCCGGCAGATACAGATCTCTATTTCTTCTTTCCTTTAAATAACTGCAGCCCCACCAGGACAAGGAACCTCCTATCTAGCTTTGACACCTTGTTGGGATGCAGAGGGTCCCCGTTTTCCCAGCCCACATTCTTCTGTGCAGACCAAACTGGTACTGGGTCCAGTTCTGGGTTCCTCAGCTCCAGAAAGAGAGGGAACTGCGGGAGAGAGTCCAGCAGAGGCTGTGAGGATGATGAGGGACTGGAGCATCTCTCTGCTGAGGAAAGGCTGAGGGACCTGGGGCTGTTCAGCTGGAGAAAAGCAGACTGAGGGGGGACCTTATCAATGCTGAGCAAGAGCTGAAGGGTGGGGGGTAAGAGGATGGGGTCAGACTCTTCTCAGTGGTGCCCAGTGACAGGACAAGGGGCAACGGGCACAAACTGGGATGCAGAAAATAAGGAAAACTTTCCTGTGCAGGTGGCAGAGCCCTGGCAGAGGCTGCCCAGGGAGGTGGTGGAGTCTCCTTCTCTGGAGACATTCAACCGCCCCCCAGACATGTTCCTGTCCCACTGCTCTGGGTGACCCTGCTCTGGCAGGGGGTTGGACTGGGGGGTCTCCAGAGGTCCCTGCCAACTCCTGCCAGGCTGGGATTCTGGGATTCTGTCACCAGAGACAGAAGCCATCGTCCCTGGGTGGGCCATGAGGAGGGGAAAGTCAGTGCCTTGCTGCTGTGTGGGGCCATGTCCCTCAGCTCACATTCGAGGAGGAGGAAAAACACCTCATTGCTCTTTCTTCACTTATTAAAACCACACTGGAATGGCAATACAGCATTTTGAACACATGGATTTTTCATTACACTTCATTGAAACATTATTTACTGAGGTAAAATCAAGGTGGCCAAAACATCACTGCCTGCTGGACATGCTTTCATTCTCAAATTGCCCCAGGGGAGGTTGAGGATGGAGCTTGGGAACAATTTCTTCCTGGAAAGGGTTGTGAAGCCTTGGCAGAGGCTGCCCAGGGCAGTGGTGGAGTCGTCATCCCTGGAGGGATTTCGAAGCCGGGCAGAGGTGGTGCTGAGAAACATGGGTCAGTGTTGGGTTTGTCAGTGTTGGGTTGATGGTTGGACTCCATGAGCTGAAAGGTCCCTTCCAACCTCCACCATTCTATAATTTCATCATGTGCCCTGATTGCAATCCCCAGGTCTTATCCTTCAGCCATACTGTCTTTTTCCATCAATACTTTTTTTCTTTTGAATAGTTCTCATTATGTTAGACATTTTTAGCCATTTTACAAAACATATGCCCCAAGAAAAGCCTGTACACTGATAAATAGTATTTTTCAGCCCAACGTTTTAAAGTGAAATGACCTCCCTGCATCTCTGAGCAGAACTGAAAACAAGATTTTAAACCTCATTTCTTCCATGTCTGTTCACACTTTTGCTCAGGTCTCCAACCCTGTTTCACAAGAAGGTCATCCATCCCAAGCTGAGGAAGTCTCTGGAGTCACCAGGAAACAACGGGCTGGTGACTGGACCAGTCAGGCTGCAGAAACTCTGAGGGCAGAGCTAGCAGAGGTAGTGTTTGTTGTAGCTATAAAAATATTATAAATAGGTAGCTACCGTAAGTATGTAGCTGCAAATATGTCAGACAAATATAATTTGTGGTGAGAGGTGCTTTTTTTATTAGATGAGCTTACAGCCAGAAAAACTATAAAAATCTTTCAAACTCGCAAGCTGTTCTCCCTGTCGGAAAGGCAGCAATCTCCACCACCAAATATAGCTTAAGAAGAACGGCTCTGAGATTTATGGAACATATATCACATTTCTGTTTAATGCCAGTTTTTAGCATCCAGTGGAATCAGGAGTTTGCATTTTTATGGTGTTTTGCTGGTTGGCTGGAAATCCAGCTCTGAGATCAGGTGAGGTTCCCTGTGTTTTACCATGTTTGCTCAGGAGAGCTGCCTTTGTGGCTGTAGGGCAGATGTGTGCCCACCACCTGGGGACCTCTGTGGGGTTCTCCATCCTTGTGCACACATGTGAGAGGCTCCGGAGGACACCTCTGCCCTGTGGTCCCAGGAGCTGGCCAAGGAGCCCTCCTAGGGTACGCCACCATGTCCACCCCAGTGCTCCCAGCTCCAACCCAGTAAAGATTTCTCTTTTCATCCTTGATAGTAAGAGGGACTTTTTAGAAGGGCATGTAGTGATAGGCAGAGGAATGGATCCAGAGGAGGCCATGGAGATGCTGGGAGAGCTGGAGCCCCTCAGCTGTGAGGACAGGCTGAGAGAGTTGGGGGGGTTCAGCCTGGAGAAAAGAAGGCTCCGGGGAGACCTTCCAGCCCCTTCCAGTCCCTAAAGGGGGGGGAGGGCTCCAGGAAAGCTGGGGAGGGACTCTTGATGAGGGAGGGGAGCCCTAGGAGGAGGGGGAAGGGTTTGACCCTGCAAGAGGGGAGATGGAGCTGAGATGTGGGGAAGAACTTGTTTGGTGTGAGGGTGGTGAGAGCCTGGCCCAGGTTGCCCCGAGAAGCTGTGGTTGCCCCATCCCTGGAGGGGTTCAAGGGGAGGTTGGAGGGGGCTTGGAGCAACGTGGTGTGGTGGGAGGTGTCCCTGCCCAGGGCAGGGGGGTGGAATGAGATGGTCTTTAAGTTCCCTTCCAACCCAAACCATTCCATGATTCTATGATTCTATGAAGGTCTGTTGATGGAGACCAGCACTGGGATCATAGCCTCAGGGATGGATGTGTGTTGCCAGTGCAGGAGGGATGCTATGTCTTTAATAACCTCCTCCAAGGCAGGAGCTGTAGGAGGAATCTTCAGTGCAGCGGCTTCCAAAATCAGCAACCACCCACCTTGGGAGCCTGGCTCAGCATGACGTCCAAGTTAGTAGAACATGCTGTGGGAGGTGACCCTGCAGCCCCTTTGGTGTCTGTCAGGCGTGACCGGGTTCCTTCTCCACCCCAAATACACTGGGTTTGCAGGCACAGAAACAGTGGATGTCCCTGTCCATCAAACACTGGAGCTGGAGATTTTCCATCTGCTTTGAACACAACGTGATTACCTGCTGAAATGCAATGGCAGAAACGTTTCTCCCACCCTGGACAGGTTCTGCTGCATCTTCTCTCCATGCCCCAACATGCACAAAAAGGACCACGTCCACCCACCTCACTGCCCCTGAGCCTCAGCAAAGCAACGTTTCAAGACCTGGTTGGACAGGGCTTGGAGCAACCTGATCTGGTAGTAGGTGTCCCTGCCCAGGGTGAGACTGGATGGTCTTTAAGGTCCCTTCCCACCCAAACCATTCTATGGTTCTATGACATCAGGGATGAGTGGGGCCTGGGGAAGTCTCTGGTGGTGCAAGAGCCATCCACCTCCCTGGGACCATCTGCAGCACCAGATTCTCCAACTTTGCTCTTCTCAGTGTAGGCTACCAAAGGACAGACACGCAGACGTGGAGATGGCTCTGGTCAGGCTGGTGCTCCCAGCATGAGTTGTTAGCATGGCATAGCAGAGGTGAGTGTCAGACTGGTGGAGCAGGAGGCTGAGGAGCATGATGACACCAGCAGCTCTGATTCCTCCAGCTCTGTTCTTCCTTCCAGTGCCACTGAACCGTAGGGGACTCCTCCAGCAGAGGAGCTGGGTGACCAGCGCCCTCATGCCTGACCCAGTCTCCCACACCAGACACCTTGCTGGCCCATGGGACAGCTGTGCAAGCCCCATACAGATGTTGCAACAAGTGGCCCAAGTCTGGCAGCTGGATCTGGACTCTCTGAGTCCTTCTTGGCCATAGCCTGAAGTTCTGTGTCTGTCCCTTTCCTGTTTAGGCACCTTAATCACAGAATGATTTGGGGTTGGCAGGGAACTCTGGGGACCCCCCAGTCCAACCCCCTGCCAGAGCAGGTCCACCCAGAGCAGGTCCCACAGGAACGTGTCCAGGGGAGGGTTGAATATCTCCAGAGAAAGGAGACTCCACCACCTCCCTGGGCAGCCCTCTGTGTCTGTCCCTTTCCCGTTTAGGCACCTTAATCACAGAATGATATGGAGTTGGCAGGGACCTCTGGAGACCTCCCAGTCCAACCCCCTGCCAGAGCAGGTCCACCCAGAGCAGGTCCCACAGGAAAGTGTCGGGGGAGGGTTGAATATCTCCAGAGAAGGAAGCTCCACACCCTCTCTGGGCAGCCTCTTCCAGGGCTCTACCACCCTCAAAGTCAAGTAGTTCCTCCTCGTGTTGAGATGGAATTTTCCATGTTCCAGTTTGTGCCCAGAGATCCCCCCCTCAGTGTTATCTTCTCCAAACTAAAAAGCCCCAAGTCCCTCAGCCTTTCCTCAGCAGAGAGATGCTCCAGTCCCTCATCATCCTCCCTCCCTCAGTGTTATCTTCTCCAGACTAAAAAGCCCCAAGTCCCTCAGCCGTTCTTCAGCAGAGAGATACTCAAGGCCCTCATCATCCTCACAGCCTCTGCTGGACCCTCTCCAGGAGTTCCCTGTCCTTCTGGAACCGGGGAGCCCAGAACTGGTCCCAGTGCTCCAGCTGGGGCCTCCCCAGGGCAGAGCAGAGAGGGAATCTTCTTGATGCCCCCCAGAAGACCATTGGCCCTCTTGGCCACCACATTGCTGGCCCATGGTCATCCTGAGCCATGCTCTGTCCCGTCTCTGTCACTGGGGGTCACTTTGGCTGTTGATGTTGTACACCATGATGGGGTCCAGCTGCACCTTGGGAGGGACAGACCCAACCACTCATCTCAGCGTTGCTCTTCTCAGCCTGTATTTAGATTTAGATGTCTTAACTCGGGAAGCCAATGTGCAGAAACCCCAGTGTTTGGCCACTGGCAGCATACCGCTGGCTTCCCCAAAATCCAGGAGGAGAGAGGCTGGAGATGTCCATCCCAGGGGATATGGGGGGAACAGGGTGTGTAGAGCTCGGGTGTCCATCCAAGCCATCCATCCTCCTGACACACAGGCAAGAGGAGTT